AATTACTGGTCACTATTTTATTATTTTACTAGAATATAAGTTCTAGGAGAACAGGAATTTTTATTGGTAACTGATACAACTTCAGTGCCAGAAAAGTACCTGGAACATACTAGGCATTTAATGTATATCTTCTTTGAATATATAAATGAATTGCATAGTTTAAAAATGTAATATGTTTTCTTTTATAAATCTCAGTGAGTTACTCTTTTTAACGGTAATACAATAAAATTTTACAGTTGAAATGATAATCATATTTTAAGATAACTTTTTAAACAAGGAAATTATTCCCATTGAAAATATTCCTTTATTAGAGTTCAGAATCTCCATTTCCTTCTACATAATGCTTTGAACAGTACCACAAGGTGGCATACCAAACCTCATAAAGACATTTTAGATGTTTTCAGTCAAAATTTTGTTGCTTACAGAAAAAAATCCCTTAAATCCAGGAAAAGGGGATCCCATTCTGGACCCTTTTCTTGAAAATGAAGCTGTATACTCCTCTCATGCCGCTCCCTGCCAGGTAAGACCTGAGGGCCCTGAGATGTACTTCTCTTCACCTGGAGAACCTCTTTCAGCTCCTTCCTGATCTGTTTACAGAGGGTGGATGAACAATTGAAAGAGCTCATTCTAAAGGCCTGGGCTGGTCAAAGAGCACCTCTACAAAAGCTGGGTTCACTTATCCTTGGGAAATAACAGTATTGAGACAGAGACCTGTTCTCCCTGAGTTGCCATTCACTAGTGTGGGGCTCTAAGGAGTCCAAGAATCCTAGGAACCTTAGGTATATTTGCTGAGGTAGGAAAATTTTCTTAGCTGGATTTAACCGTCCTAAATATCCAGGTATACAGTATGTGAACCTCCATTTTTACTCCTGACAGGGCATTGCAAACACAAACATTAGAGATAAAGACTGTGTGTATAAAAATATCTGGGTATTTTCTGTGCATATTTGTTTATGTAAAAATTGTATTTGGAATCTCTGCATCAGAATTCTGAGATTCCAGTAATAAAATCAGCAATTTCTGGCCGGGCGCCGTGGCTCAAGCCTGTAATCCTAGCACTTTGGGAGGCCGAGGCGGGTGGATCACGAGGTCAAGAGATCGAGACCATCCTGGTCAACATGGTGAAACCCCATCTCTACTAAAAATACAAAAAAAAAATTAGCTGGGCATGGTGGCGTGTGCCTGTAATCCCAGCTACTCAGGAGGCTGAGGCAGGAGAATTGCCTGAACCCAGGAGGCGGAGGTTGCGGTGAGCCAAGATCGTGCCATTGCACTCCAGCCTGGGTAACAAGAGCGAAACTCTGTCTCAAAAAAAAAAAAAAAAAAAAAATC